TAATTATAACAGTTAATTTTATATTAATAAATAATGAAATTAGTGATTTATTTAAAAATATAAATATTTTTAAAATTTTAAGATATTAAAAAAATTACGTTCTTTAATTTAAAGAGAAAATTAAATATCTCTAAATTTGACGAAGGGTTCTAATGTTTATCTCAAGAATCTTGGTTTCTCCATGGGCTCCAATTATGCAGATCGATCATGCCCGTCACTATCGCGTGGATTGCTGAAATTTCTTTGTCGCATCCGATGAATGAAAGTTGAAATCTAGAAATCAGACCAAGATACGTGTATTTATTAAGAAGAAAGCTGACTTTTTTTTTGTTTTAATAATCCAATTATTTTCTTATTTATTCATCGAATAATGATACTTGAATAAAAATATAAAACTCGGAGAGAAATATCATCATTTTAAAAATTATTAAGTTGTTATTACTCAATTAGAAAACTGAAAAAAGAAAGTAAATACACTTGTTTGTATAAATTGAAAAACAATTATCCTTGAAAGTAAAAATAATTGTTGCTATTTAGTACGTTTGAAAATAGGTTAAAAAATTTATAAACATAAATTTAACTCAAAAGGTACAATTAAGAATATTAAAATAAAGATATTTTTTAAGTGTTGTCAGTATTATAAAAATAATCGTCTGTTTTGAATTGAAATTCAATTTCACAAGTTTTGGTTTATTTGATCATGTCAAACTCAATTTTGTCTTTTATATGCCAAAATTTTCAAATGTGAGTGACACGAATAGCCTAAAAACATCCAATAAACTCATCCTCTAGTGCTAGTACCTATAATTAGGCATAGGTCAATTTAAGAAAAGTTATATACCATATAAATCTGCTGTCTATCATCTCAATTTTGAAAAATAATAATGCTATTCAAATACCTGAATTTGATGTATCTAACATGCTTGACAAACATTTCCTAAATACAAGATTGCATATTAATTATTTTATACATGTAAACATACTGTCTAAACTCAAAGTTAACCAAACTTAAAAAAAAAATAATTAAAATGTTGTGTAACTCTCTCGCACCTTTAGTTTTTTCTTTCTTCTTCTTCTTGAACAAATTTAAAAAAAAAAACATTTGAATCACAAAACTACGTTGTTATTGTTGTCCTTCTACAAAAAAAAAAATTCCTTTCTCACTCTCGGGACTATTTATTGTTGCGTGACTCTCTCTCACTTGTTCTCTACAGCCTACTCCTAGGTATTTGCATGTTGTCCCCCATTTGAGCAATTTACTATGTCACTTCGTCTCTCCCACTTCTCCTCTCACGTCTACACGAGAAATATCAAGTTCTTCAATCCCACCATGTTCTTTCTCTGCTAAAACTATATCTTTTTCATATTACTTGTTCTTTACATTACTTTCGTCCTACACTCTGTGTTACTATGTGTGAGTTTGCTGTCTCACTTCTCATCTGAGTGATACATGAGTCCTATCAAAGGTGGTGCAATACAAATTGAAAACCTAGGGTCTTGCATTTGAGTTGAATAGTTTTTGGTAAGTGCGTCTTTGACAAAACTCACACCCATGACCCTCTGTTTTATAGAACATCCTCCGTTTTATAAAGTTTAATTTTTTTTGTTTCTATGTTGTGTGTTTTTTTGCAGGTTGTAGTTTGAATGTTTAAAGCATATGGAGGTGCAAAGGGTTATTGAAGAGGAACCACAGAAGCATGACAACGAAAATATTGTTGAGCTCGTGTGTGAAGTTGCTAGTGAGGATGATAGCTGTGATAGCTCTGACATAGTTGAGCCAAGTGTTGGAATGGAGTTTGGTGATGTTGCAATGTAACCCTTGTGATTTTTGTTTGTAAATATAATGTATGGTTTATTGATCAATACAAGGTTTACATACTTTAGTTGTGTTACTTAGCTTTATAGTAAAATTGAAATGGTAAAAATTTTGCCTTATTTGAACTGTATAAAGATGGTAATTGACCATATAAAGCTGGTAATTAAATTTTAAATAAGATGGTAATTAATTCTAGATACTGGTAATGTTGCAATTATTACATCTAGTTTATTTTTCGGTTTTGTATTATGATACATGATCTTAATTAATTGGAAGATAAGTTTATTTCATTTTTTGTAACCAAATATTTTTTCATAACTATGATACTACAACCTATAATGATAACAAATTAGCCTTAATTGAACTGTATAAAGATGATAAGGAAACAAAAAGACCTGGTAATTATATTTTCAATATGATGGTAATTACTATATGTGTTTTCTTATATAATGTTGCATAATAGAGACAATGGACTTAATTATATATTTAGGTCTTACTGAACTTAATTAAAACCTTTTGTTATTGATAATTTTTGAGTATTGGTGCCTAACACAAACCATATATTTTGTCATTTATGTTGGCAATTGGGGATAACTATATTGGGGTATAGTGTAATCCAGTGTCTGATAATACATTTAAATGCTAATACTTGATACTTTGATGTGATGGTAATTTATTTTAGATGCTAGTAATGTTGTAAGGTATACACAATTGTGATTTATGTCTTACTGACCTAATTACTAGGATTGATAAGGTTTTTTCTTTTGTTGTGACCAATGTTAGGCCATAAGTATGATACTACTACTAATATGATAACAACATAAATATTATTACAACTGTATAATGATGGTAATTCACCATCAATAGCTGGTACATAAAAGTTATATGTGATGGTAATAGATTGTATATATTGGTAATGGTGTGGTGAAAGACACAAATTACTCAAAGGAATCCAGTGCTGGTCCAAGTAATAAAGATGATGTTTATCAAGCATCATAGATTTATGATATGGCACAGGTCCAAAGTCATTAATTGTATCTAACATTTTTTTCAAATTTTGTTTCACAACGCCTAACATGAAATCTATGTGATTTTCCTCGGCCTTAAATGCCTAACAGTGTAAGGGGTTCGTCGATGAAGCCCCGGTCTTCTTTTCCTCTGATATGTGTTCAGCTTAACCCCTGTTCCAATGTTTGACTTAGGGTTGGTCTTCTCTTGAATTGGTTGACATTCATTTCGATGTACTTTTTCTTCAATACCTGTTAACATTAACCATCAACACTACGTGGTAACCTTAACATTCATCAATTTAGCCTTATCAACACAATGCAGTAGTGTACATATACACATACCTATGTTTTGGACTTCAAGTCCAGCAGAAGATAACCTTTTAGACCTTGGACCGGTAAGAACACATGGAGGAGTTAATAACATGTCATGAACATCAACTGCTTTGCATACACCTTCTCTTTCTTCATTTTTGATATCCAACATCCACTTTATTAACAATTCCTCCCGAATGATTGCAACCTCATCCTATTGGCATTATATACACTTTAATTAGCACCAATTTAGGTTAAATGGATATAAACGAATGTGTGATACAAACAACAGAACAAATATCACAATTCAGTTCATGTCGGCATAATAGAATCATCATCGTATGTTGCTTCACCATCCCATATCTCCATGTATTTAATGGTGTGCACACTGCAATTATAACTGTAATTAAAAAAGAAAGGTAAGTGAAGAGTAAATTCAATTTTAATCATTCCTATATATGAAATAAGGTGATATGAAAGATGAACTCAACCATGATGTTGTCTTAGGACACTTGGGTACTTAATTTGAAGGTGAGCATTTGTAAAGACAAAGTTTTGATCAATCAATGTGAATATCTCCTCAAATCGTTTAGCCTACAATTATGTACAACCTGTAAAATTACCAGTATATATATTACAATTACCATCACATTGAACATTGGTTTACCAACTTTATTTGCTGAATTACCATATTCATACAGTTCAGATAGAGTATAACTGTTATCATATTATTAATCGGACTTATCAACTGATATTGGTGACAACTCAAGAAATAACCTGCAAAATTACCAGTATATATATTACAATTACCATCACATTGAACATTGATTTACCAACTTTATTTGCTGAATTACCATATTCATACAGTTCAGACAGAGTATAACTGTTATCATATTACAGAAGTAGAAAAAAATTGTGTACACCCTAAAACATTACCACTTTTTACATTCAACTACTATCAAATTGAAATTGAATTACCAGATTTTTATAGTGAATAACTATCTTTATACAGTTTAAATAATAGCATTATTGTTATCATACTCAAGATTAACAGAAAACATATGTAAAATGATTTAACGTTAGCTTATACACTAAATTACTAGAACCTAGGTAAAAAACGTACTAACTTAATATTTGAAATTAACTACATTCACTAATGCTACCACAGAGGAATCTAAAATAATTTCAAAGTACTTATTAACATTGTGAAAAATTCAAAGAAGAGGACACTAAAAGTACCTGTGATGCTGCGACGACTGATGCCCAACCAATATTTCAACCTATCTTCAACACAAAGGCTCGAATGAGGGCCAATACGCAAATACCCAGGAGTAGGCCGCAGAGAACAAGTGAGAGACAGTTATGCAACAATAAATAATCCCCAAAAGTAAGAAATAATTTTTTTTTTGTTGAAGAAGGACAGTAACAACGTAACTTTGCGATTCAAATATTTCTTTTTTTGGATTTGTTCAAGAAGAAGAAGCCGTAGAGAACAAGTGAGAGAGAGTCACGCAACAATAAATAGTCTTCGAGAGTGAAAAAGGATATTTTTTTTGTTGAAGAAGGACAACAACAACATAGCTTCACGATTTAAATGTTTTTTTTTTTTAGATTTGTTCAAAAAGAAGAAGAAGATAGGAGGAACTAGAGGCGCGGAAAAGTTACACGAAGTTTTAGTTTTTTATTTTTTTTAAGTTTGATTAACTTTGAGTTTAAACAATATATTAAAGTGTGTAGAATAACTAATATGCAACCTTGTATTTGAGAATTGTTGATATATTGAGAATTGTTGATATACGATATTAGATATAGACACCAAATTCGAGTGTTTAAATAACATTATTGTTTTGAAAAATAGTGATATTGTATGTGGCTCGCTATATATAGTGATGTAGCTCAAGTGCCGGGAGCAACACACCTAGCTTAGCTCATACAATGCTACTCATAATCTTTTCCATCTTCCTCGTACTAATTTTTCAATTTATATGGTATTCCAAATCCAAATCCACGGAAGGCAAAAGCTTAGCCCCTTCTCCTCCAAAGTTTCCCATAATAGGAAATCTCCATCAACTAGGTTTGTACCCTCATCGGACACTCCAATCTTTAGCCAAAAAATATGGCCCTTTAATGCTTCTTCGTCTTGGGAGTATGCCAGTTCTTGTGATTTCATCCGCTGATGTTGCACGTGACATAATGAAAACCCATGATCGCATTTTTGCAGATAGACCACACAATAAAATGTTTGACATCCTTTTATATGGTTCCAAAGATGTTGCTTCAGCACCATATGGGGAATATTGGAGGCAAATAAGGAGCATATCTGTCTTGCATCTTCTAAATGTGAAAAGGGTTCAATCTTTTCGTGTAGTGAGAGAAGAAGAAATCGCCATACTGATGGAAAAAATAAGGCCCTTTTGTTCTTCCTCTTTGCCAGTGAATTTAAGTGAACTACTCTCCGAAGTTACTAATAATATAGTTTGTAGGGTTGCTTTGGGAAGAAAATATGGTGGAGATAGTGGGAGGGTGATGAAAAAGTTGTTGATGGACTTCACAGAACTACTTGGTACTTTTACTGTTGGGGACTATGTTCCTTGGCTTGACTGGTTGAGTCATGTTTCTGGATTGTATGGTAGAGCAAATAGAGTGGCTAAACAGATTGATGAACTTTTAGCTGAAGTGATTGAAGAGCGTGTAAATCGTCAGAAGGGAGCCAGTGAGAAGCATGCAGCTGATTCAGATATTGAAAGCCATAATGATTTTGTGGATGTTTTGCTTTGGATCCAAAGCCAAAATGCAATTGGCTTTCCCATTGACAGAACTGTCATAAAGGCTATGACATTGGTAAAGAGTTTTGCTACATTCTTCTGTTTATTCTCTTCATAATTTTCCTCTTATTTTATAAAATATATATTTATTCTTAAAAATAAAAAATATATTTAATATTTTCTTGATTTAATAATTAAGAGAGTTTGTAAAAATAAAAAGTAAAAGACTTCAAAATTACTCTTTACTAAATAAGACATCTATTATATCCTTTTATGGGTGTGTCTGTGACATTCTTTAATTTACTTCTTCTCCTAGATATGTAGGGGAGCCAATACCAAATTTATTAATATCCTAGCTCGTTATGGTGTACCCGTTTCTAATTCTCTATATGTTTGCAAATACTCCATGTTATTATGTGGTGTGATATTTTTAAATTGTAACGATAAATTGAAATTTGATTAGCACAAAACTTTGGTTAACAAGTAGAAAAGAGTTGTACAACAGAGGTATAGAAAGAGATGCCTCCAATTGAGCATCTTCCGAAAAAAATAAATTATTCACTAAATTTGTAGAAATAGGTAGAAAAATAAAAAGACACTTATCCTCATTCTTTTAAGCTACTATTGTGTAACTTCTAGAGATTATTTGAGATTATTTGGGAGAGGATTTTTAATGAGAAAAGAAGTAATAAAAATGGTATCTCTCAAGGAGGAGCATATTAATGTTGAGACTCACATTTCAACCTTTGCTCGCCAATAGGCTAACTGAAGTTGGGAATTTGGTTATAGTTTTACTAGCTAGGTCAAGAAAAAGTTCACCCCTCAAGGCAACACCTTATTTTTAGCTAGCATAATAACATCATGTAAAAGAGTTAACAATGATAGCACCATCACATATATTGACCATGCATCTGTTTTTGTTTTAGGATGTTTTTGCCGCAGGTACAGACACTACAGCTACCGCCCTAGAGTGGGCAATGACAGAACTCTTAAGGCACCCAATTGTGATGAAGAAATTGCAAGATGAAGGTAGGAACGTGAGTGGTGATAGAACACACATAACTGAAGAGGATTTGTGTCACATGCAATACTTAAAAGCAGTGGTTAAAGAAACTTTTCGCTTACATACTCCAATTCCATTATTGGTCCCACGAAAAAGCACGCAAGATATCGAGTTGAATGGTTACCACATTGAAAGTGGTACACAGGTAATTGTTAATGCTTGGGCCATTGCTAGGGATCCTATGTATTGGGATCAACCTGAAGAGTTCAAACCTGAAAGGTTCTTGAATAGTTCAATAGATGTCAAAGGAAATGATTTTCAATTGATCCCATTTGGAGCTGGGAGAAGGGGTTGCCCAGGAACAATGTTTGCTGTGGCTGTTATTGAGCTTGTGCTAGCTAACCTTGTGCATCAATTTCACTGGTCATTACCCAATGGAGTAGAAGGGGAGAAAACCTTGGACATGTCTGAAACAGTTGGCTTAACTATGCATAGGAAGAATCCCCTTCTAGCAGTTCCAGTCCCAAATAAGTAAATGAAGGGGTAAAGGCAAAAAGAAAATCTAAAATAACAAAATAAAGTTGTGATGATATATACCTACGACCTATCTTATTTTTCTTGAAGAAATTTAGAGTTATGGTGAGTGGTTATATGTGTATTTATATTTTAATAATTATATTTTCATACTTATGTTTTTATATATTTTTTTAATTTTATCAAATCAATTATATTTGTTTTTCTTTCTCTATCTGTCCTCCACCTACACACCTATAGTTATATTAAATGTAAAAATTATGAATGAACAGTTATTTTTAAAATTTTATCCTTAATTTTTTATGTTTATTTGTTTATTGTAAAAGACACTTGTGTTTAGACTATAAAAGTGGAGATAGACAAAATTATTACGTTCATAGAAAAAAGATAACATAATAAGGAATAAATTTGGTGAAGAAGGATAATCTCAAATCATTTTCTTTCCACCAATACAAGGACATTTTTATGTATGCAACTAAAAGACGAATAAAAGGATACAAGAGAAATTAAAAGTGTGCGATAAGATAGTTAATTACGTAATATAGACAACAAAATAAAGTGTTATAAAAAATGATATGAATACCTTATCCTTTGGTGGAAACAAACACACCTAGTGATTCTATATACAAACACCAAGTTTCCTACCCCACCCAAATCCAGAAAGTGCAATTATCCACCATAGACGCAAACTTTTAGTGAGGGAAATCACCTCCACTAACTTTTGAGGGAAGAATTAATTATATTCATCAAAATCACCAAGAGCCAGCCAAGGAAGGAAAATTGTAGAAAAAATATTATTAAAGTGGCACCAATTTTTCTCCCTAATTGTATAAATAGGGATATCATAATCTTTACTACAAGCCATTTCCACCTCCACAGAATATTCTATGGTTATAATTAACTTGAAAGAATTCAAATTTCTCATAGACATCCTTCAGGATAAACTATACCACATGCTTCGTACTCCAAATTACACCAAGAAAGGATAGCGAGTTTCAAGAACGAAAATGCTTTGTTAACGTAAATATGAGAAAATAAAGACTTATCATTTGATATTGTGATATGTTTTCAATATATCTATACATAATAAAATATAAAATATAAATTTATATATAATATCATATTACTAATTTTTTTTATATTCAAATAATAAAACTCAATAAGTTTTTAAACTGTTGAACCAACTTCTTAAGGTGTCTTTACATACCATTAATCTTTTTCAGAATACCACGGATATTAATGAATAAAATATTAAAATCGGATAAGGTCATATCATCAACACGAAAAAGTCATCAAATGCATGATTACAACATTAAATTATTAGTTATTATTTATTTTAAAAAACGTGCCTATATAATTATTTTGTTGAAAAAAAGAGCTTTTTTATTTAAATAATACTTTTTAAAAATAATTTTTAGTATATTTTAAAACTAATTTTCTGGTTGGTGCTTTTTTTTTTGCAAACTCAACAACAGTGTCGCATGTATAGACGATAGTAAATTATTATTATTATTTTAATAAAATATCATTCCAATATTATTGATACTACACCAAAAATTGACACTTCGCATGAGAATCAGACAAAATAAAATGATAATATATTTTTATTATTATTTTAATATATTATTGTCATACAACGTTCAATACTCATATTTTTTAATAATTTTAATATTATCGTTACAAATTAACTGATACTTATTTTTTTTTTATTTTAAAATTATATTGTCTCAAAACTTTCGATACTCATATTTGTTATATGGTTGATGTTCATATTTTAGTGTTACATATTAATTCTTCCATGAAAGGAGTATGTGGTGGCTGAATAATTTCTTTTTCCAACAACGTTTCTCTTAATAATTAATAATATTAATTCATGACTATCTTTCAATTTGAGCTTGTATAATGTTGTTAAGATTGAAATAATAGCTAAAGATTTGTTATTGACATTGTAAAAGGAAAAAAATAGCCTTTATAAAATTAATATAAGAAGATTTTAACATTTATTTTTTATCATTCTTAATTATCTTGTTAGTAAGATAATGTGTTTAATAATTATCTATTATTTCTATATTGCATAATTGATATATATTTTTATATTTTAAAATGTATATTATATATTAAAAAAATATTTGACAAAAATTTGATGGCTAAAAAATTTAACCATCAAATAAAAGTGGTGTCTAAAAAGTACGCAAAGAATTTCATGATGTGTATTCGTAGGCTTGTATTACTTGAGCCTTTTATTCTCCTAAGTTGTTTTTCGTTTGTTATAGCCTACCTACTTATGTTAAGAGTAAAGATGGAAATAGGTTAAGCTATTCGACAGAGATTTACAACTTAACTTATTTAAAGCTTCGTTTGACCTAACTTATTTAATTAATAAACTTAATTTAAATTTTTTTTAAAAACTTAATTAATTAAATATATCAGCTTGAGCTTAAGAAAAAATCTATTAGATCTATTAGAATTAGATTGACCTATTTAAAATTCATAAAATTTATAATAATATATTAAATAATTTTATATAAAAATTATAATATAATAATATATTAAATCAATTAAATTTTAAAATAATAAAATCTTAAATTAAAAACTCTAATTTTTTTTGTTAAAGTTGAAGAATGTCTCTGCTATATACTCTCTAAAAGAGAGATTTATTTGCTGAAATTTTTTATATATCCTATAAGCACAATTACATCTATCACTAGTTCATTTTATCTCATCTATATTTTCTTACAATATTGTGTATTTATATAATTTTTTAATAGTTTATTTAGATATAAGTCTTATAACTTTTTAAAAAATACTTATTTAAATGATTTAATAGTCTATTTATAAGAAAATTTAATGACTTATTGAATGTTTCAATACGAAATAGGTTATTAAAAAGATTAATAGACCAAATCATGCTTTTAAAAAGGTCATGTCAAATATATTTATGCAAAATCTAGCTTAAGTTAACCTATTTCCATTCCAAGAGTAAAAATGTTATTGACCAAAACAAAAGATACAAATCACAAACTTTAGAAGGTTGTCTATATTGTTACTTGATAATTGAATCTCATGAAAGTTGAGGAAAATTGAGAGAGCTTTGTTAATGAGCTTAATTGCTCTGCATAGGTGAAATTTCAGTTGATAAAAACTTAAAGCATATCAAAAGTTTGTGAGCTTTGACACAGTTTATCAACTATGACTAGATAGGCTGAATGCGTTCTTAGGCGAATAAATATAGATATATTCTTTTGCATGAGTGGCACCTGCAATAATTTTCATTTTCTCATTCTGGCTGCAGGCATGGCAAGATTAAAATAAGAAAATATGAAATAATATTGTTACATGTTTCTCAGCTCAAGTTAGTACTGAAATGTTGAATTTGATAACTCAACTTGCTGCTAATTGAATTTGAAAATTTTGCAGCATGGCCAATTTTTTCCCCTTGATCATAAGAGAAAATCTACAAATGTAGATAATCCATAAGTCAAGGCTATGAGAAATAACATTAAAAATAACAAGATAATTTCTGAAACACAAATTAAAATACTAAAGATATTTTTCACCTTCTTTAAAACAAATTGGAGAGAAGGAAAAGCAATAAATGAAGACAAATAAACTCAAAGCATGCCATCTGATTTAGCAGGCATTCTCCTAAGGAAGTTCTGAGGGACTGCAGGCATGTCAAAGCGGAACCTTGGAGGTCTTAACAAGTAAGTGACACCAAGGAACATAATAATGCGAAAAGGAACAAAATAAGTCACAATGATTGCTACTAAACAGAAAATAACAAATAAAACTGTTGCTCTTGGATCCCTCCAGCTGAGTAGAGAATGCACCCTCTCTCCTTGAGTTGCTAAGTCACTCATCACTTCTAGCACCCTTCCCGCAACACCTCTTAATCCATCATACCTCTTCCTCAGATTCTCACCATTGAATTTGGATGGAAAAGGATCGAATTCTTCTTCTAGTTCTTCAACAGTGGCTGTATCAGCTTGAGACAATTTCACGTCCATATGGTAAGGATATCTTGGCCGTGTTCTATAGCGCCAAATTCCAACCATCAAGAGGAAGGAAAATGTTGATGGCAAAATTATTCCGGGAAAGAAAATAACAAAAAGAAACATAAAGTAACTAAACACTGTGGTAACTGAATTCTTCCACACCCGTATGTCATCAAACTGTTTACCAACACAAACCAAACCACTCAGAAGACTAGTAATTCTGGAAAATTGAGCTCTTCCCCTCCTCATGCTCCACACATTTGCCCTCATATCTAGCATGTAGTCCACAACCTCTTTACTGAGTGTTGGTTCAGCCCTTTTGAACCTCAATGTGGTGATGGCTGCAGCTTGGTTCCTCAAACTATCCAACTGATACACAGACAAAGGGCATATGTAGTGCATTCTTGGGAGCAATGGTTGAGCATAAGTTTGCAAAACATTCAACAAAGAAGGACAAGAAAATCTCACAGCCAGTTGAATTTCTCCCATCTTCCTGGCTCCTTGAGTGTGCAAGTTTATCAGTGGATAAGAGTGAGTGTAAATCCTATCACTTTCAAGCGTGGACAATCGAATCCTTACCTTGCCAATCCTCTTATCAACTTCTCTTTCAGTATTTTTCCCTCCAGCATTTTTTCCCCCAACATTTTTTCCTCCATGTAAGTTCCCATTATCAAACACAACAATTGTGATGACAGTGCAAAGATCAAACACTTCCCAAGTATATTGCTCATTCCACTTGGGAGAAAGACTGTCTACAATAGTCCTTGTTCTCACCCACTTGGGACCATACTTAGCTACACAATAGGCGTCAGTGTGGTTATCCTTCTTCATTGGAGAGAGCCCCACAGCATTCAAGATTCCTAATTCCAGAACACCAATACTGGGTTTGCACAAGTTCTTTGATGATGGCCTGAGATCACTCGAGTATTGAGTGGCCTCATCAAGAACATGGTACCCTCCATCCAATGAAATCCTCATGTTAAGTTTGCTAGAAAACTTAATCTCCTCTTCACCCTCATTTTCCTTGGGCTTGTGAAGGTTGTACCATACACTAGCTGGTGGAGTGGCATCAATTCTGTGCTGTACATTCTTCAAAGGGATCACACAACATCCTAAGCTTTCATGCTTGTGGGAATTCCCTTGCTCAATGCTCACAACCAAGGAATCATCAAAGGGTTCTGCTGCAACAAACATCAAATCCTCATTCCACATGGGATTTGTGTTACCTTTCATTGAACGGCTCCGCAAAGCCAAGTTCCCCAAAACACCTTGGATGAAAATTTCCGAGTTATTGCCACCCTTATTTTTTAGCAACAAATCCTGGCCTTGAATCACGTTAACTCTAAGATACCAAAGCCTAGGAGAAATATACACCTTTGAACGTGTGTGAGCAATGTTTTCACCACAAGCCTCTGCAGCATCTGAATGCCAAGCCTCAGGAAAACCTTCATCTGCTTGAGTTCCCATCCAAACAGACACCATCAACTCTCCATGAAGCTTCAACCCATTTTGATCCTCAAGCTTGTACCATTGTGGTGCCAAAGGGCTATCAGGAGGAACCCTCATTGGAATATCCGATATTGTGAATGTAACATGACCCATGAACCCATCAGGGTCACCATTATTATCCTTGTTCTTCACCACAATTTGCAACACCAATTCCTGAATCCTATCCTTGGCAAAAGCAAAGACTTGGTTCCATTCTGGGGTAGTAGTTTTCTCCATTGACTTAGTTGTTCCAACAAAGCTTCCAAGCTTTACTTCCACATAAGGGTTGCAAGCATGAGATTTAGAATTTTCAGGTAACTCTTTGGCCCTCACCACCCTTGCAAATAGAAAGGGCATTTGTTCAACAAGATCAAATGCAGTGGGAAGCCTATCACCACTTATCACTCTTCCAGCACTTATGTTTGGAGTTGTCTCCTTTAGAGAGAAATCCTCTTTATTCTTCTTTTGGTTTTGATTTGCCATTCTGCAGAAATAAACAGAATAAAACAAGTTTAAGTCCAACTTCAAATCACAAACATATATATACCATGAACATGATGGCACCAATGACCAAAGGGAAAACAAATAATCAACAGAATAACGCAATTCGTACCCTTCAAATGTTTTTCCTCAGAATTTCAAAAGAGAAAAAGAAGTAAAACTTGTTCGGACTATATGCAAGAAGACAAAAACAGTTTTCAGTTATGAAAATGAAGACATTGTAACTGCTGTGCTGATTATGATTTGTAACGGGAACTTATCATGTAATTATTTTGGAAATGAATGCATATTTAATTTTATTAAATTATTGTAATGTGTGTAATGATTGGTTTTACTTTTTGAATTTTGATTTGATTCTCTAACATTATTAGTTTGATTTTATTTTTTTTAATTGGGTTGGAGTTTCTGTCATCTATCCTCAACAATCAAGCTCTAAAGGTAAAATTTTAACTAAAATTATTTTATGACATCCTTTTCATATCAGAATTGCACACGATTTTTTTTTTTCAAATTTTTTACTTTATTTATTTTTTTATTTTTATCTCTAAATTTTTATATATTTTAATACTTTAAACTTTTATATGTTTATAATTATATAAATTTTTTAAATATTGATAAGAAATATAATAATTTTAATAAATAAAATTATTATTATATATATTAAATATCAAAATATACATTTATATAAATACTTATTAAGGATATTTTTACTTTGTTATAAAATTTTCCATATAATTCATTGTAAAGATAGTATTAAATAAATATATTTATTTTAACTTTATATATTTTCATAACAAAATGACAATTTTGAATTCAAAAATATCATATATTTCATCTTAATGAGAAATTGTTTATTTTGATAATAGCAATTAGTGAATAGAAGAAAAATCATTATACATAAATATTTTATTGATTAAAATTTTTTAATTTAGAAATACAATATAATAAAATAAAAATTATTTATCCTTAAACTCCTCTAATTTTTTATAGGGGACTAAAATGATAAAAAAATATTAAATTTAATGTTTTTTAATTGGACATCAATATGAACTTAGAGCACATATTATAAGTCAATTAATTTGTAAGGATGGTAAAAATATTTTATTTTGTCAATATATTGTTATATATATATATATATATATATATATATAGTTATTATCATAATATGAAAGAAAAAAAAAAGGTATGCACAAATAAGTTTATGAATTATATTTTAATACTTTAACTATTTCAGTCCTTCAAATATTTATACTATACATTAGTTCATGCATCTAAATATCTCAGATTTTTTAGCACTTTAAATATTAAAATATATAAATATAATTTTTAATCTATAAATTAATAAAATAATATTTTTATGATATTTGAAGATTTTATTTAATATCACAATTTTTTAGCACTTAATTGTACATTAAATAATTTTTTAAGTACTAAATAAATATCATAGCATTTCTTTTGCATGTAATTTATAATAATTTATTTATTAAAATATAATGTAATATAATAAAAATTGTTTAACATTATTATTGATATATTGTAATTAATTATTAAAATATAAATAAAACATTACATGTTTTCCAAACCCATACATGATACAGCTATGAAATATAATTATTATATATAATAACTCATTGTAATTCTAGCATTTCTTATCGGTAATTTTTTTATCATTTTATGGGAAACCTTAATCAAATATTGTTTCGTATATTTCAAATGAGTTCTTCTTTTGTTTTAATAAAATCGAGTAGTTAAATTAATTTATTGATACATAATATTAAAAAATAGTTTATTTAAAAATTAAACAATTGAGTCAAGTTTTTAAGATAAGTTTTTTACTGTAACATTTTATTTAACGTGGTTAATTTATCTGTTATTTCGATTAGAATTTTGGTGTTAAGACTTGAAGCCTATACTTAGAATATGAAATTATGCCTTGAGAGTCATTGTAAATTTCTTTATAATTTAATGTAATGTAATTTGTTGGTGATGCAAGACACTTCTAAATAATATTTAGATACCTTCTTTGATTTGTTTTATTAAGCAGCACAAGTAGGTTTATATGAATACATAATAATTTTGAACAGTTATATAACATTCTATGACTAACACAGCAAAAATCATTATAATTTAATATCACTTTATCTTATTTTCTTATTAAGTTCTCAAACTCACCTCTCCCCTACTAATGCTTCACTTTTAGATGGAAAAAACTGCAAAACCAATGTGGATTTTAATGGATTGCTCATTTTAGAAGGATGTCTGAAAATTAATGAGTTCTGAATTAGTTATAAAGTTAAGGTCTTATTCATGATTTTTAAAAAAAATGAATATAGAGTAGCATTTCATGTCTAATTCTTGAAGGATTAGCAGGACTTGAGAATTTATTTTGTTTTAATTATTATATTTTTACGATCTTTTATTTTCAGTATAATTCACTAAAACACTCTCACATGTCAATTTTAATTTGAATCAGTTAGCAAAAACGACAAAATTAAAAATTTATAAAAATAGAGACAAAAATTAAAATATAGAAACTATAAATATATTAAAATCTTATAAGTTTTATTTAACCCTAAATTAATTTACTTTAGCATTACCTTTTTTAGCCAAACCCGACCCGACAAATGACTTGTATATGAATAATTGCATCCAAATAAAATGGATTTCCAACACGAGACATTAGATAGATAACATAACAAGATAAACCTCCTTCTGTTGTTCCTTTCAGTTCTCACTCTCTCATATCAAACACATCAACAACAATGGCAGCACTTCACTCTTCTCTGCTCTTTCCACCGAACCTCTTTTCTCTAACAACGCCATCAACTTCCTCCACTCACGCTATCTATTACTTGAGACCCTCGACCACCCACTTTCCACCCCTTCTCACCGCACGACGCCGTTTTCGAAGACCCTTTGCGGTGGCTGAACAAGCTACGGTGTCCGAAGCTGCAAGGAGGCTCTACGTTGGCAACATTCCCCGCACTGTTACCAATGATGAGCTTTCCAAGATCGTTCAAGAGCATGGTGTCGTTGAGAAAGCTGAGGTATTTTTCGCCCTTCTATTTCTCATTTTCCATATTTTCTGTTCAGAACTTGTTTCTTAATGTATTTTTTGGAATTTGAGGGAATGGGGTGTTTTATTAAGGGGTTGTTTGGGAGGAGGGGGTTTGGAGAGATGGGGAGGAGAGGGAAATTTTTTTATTTTAAATAAATATATTTTAATTTAATAATTTTTCATAATAAAAGATATAAAATGGTAGATTAATGTACATTTAATGCATAAATTGTGTAATTATAATGGTAAATTATATATGATTCTCTTAATTTAAAAGAAAGTGGGAATGCAAGCATCTCAGATCCGTGAAACATATGGTTCGATTACAAAATTCTTGTGTATAGAAAAAGCATTAAGAGGGATCTCTGTTTTAGCATCTAATGGTATGTTTGGGATTTGGGTTTTGAATGCAAATGAGAAATATCTCTGTAAGGAAGTCCTTGAATGTGTTTTCCGAAGTCCTTTACACTTGTAGTTATCTTATAATACATTGATTATATAACTCAAATATACCGCACAAATCTCTTTATTTTTTAAAGTCTTTCTAAATACTTCTCTTTACATGATCATAAGCTTTTTTCTAAATCAATAAAAATCACATGTAAGTTTTTTTTTTATCAGTATTTTTTGGTTGTAAATTTTCCTAACTAAAACCAAATTGATTTTTTGTTATCTCAATTTCTTTTCTTAATTTATGTTCTATTACCTTTCTCCATAATTTTATAATGTGACTCATAAGTTTTGTTCTTCCGAAATTTGTACAATTCTGAATATTGTCTTTGTTCTCGTATATAGTACCAAAATACTCTCCTTTCACTTTTCTAGCATATTTCTGAATCTTAAATTTTCATTAAAGAACTTAGTGAGCCAAAAAAAATTATTTTTCTCCTGTACATTTACAAACTTCAATAAGAATATTATTAAAGCTGACAATTATACCATTATCCATCCTCTTAAGGACTTATTTTGCTTCTTCAACTCAGATCCTATCATTGCTTGCCAAATTTTGTTCATTTGCTTAGGTTTTTTTATCCTTTTATATTACCATTTGCTCCTTGACTATCATTAAAAAATTTACAGAAATAGTTTTCTATTTGTCTTTGATATCTTTATCTGTTACCAATTTTTTTTTCTTGTTCATCCTTGATATATCTAACTTGATCCAAATTTCTAATTTTTTTTCCCTAATTTTGGTAAGCTTATATATATTTCTTTCATCATTTTTTGTCTCAAGATTTTGATAGAACTCTTCAAAAGCCTTAGATTGTATTTTACTTACAGCTTTTCTTGTCTCATTTCTTTCATTTCAATTCCTTGCCTAATTTTTCACATTATCATACTCATGTAAAGCTTTAAATCACTTCCTTTTTTTCTTTAACTTTCTCCTGCCCAAATTCATTCCACCACCAAGATTCCTTATTTTTCTCTGCTTAAAGCCACTAGATTCACTCAAAATTGCTTTAGCTACCTTCTTATTCATCTCATTCCAAATGAGGTTAGCATTATCTTGTGCTTTTCGATTACCTTCGTCTACTAATTGCTTCTTAATATCCAATTGTTTATCACCTTCTTGAATCGATAGCATGTCAGGTTCTTTGTTTACACTTCTTAAAACGAACATCAAGAAAAAAACCTTATGTTTGTGTAGTAAGGCTCTCCCTTGAAATCATTTTGCAGCTTTGCAAATTCTTTTATCTAGGCTTCTTATTAAAAAGAAATCAACTTGCGACCTTGAAAATCCAGGGGTCCTTACAATAACCCAGGGTTTTGAAAAAACACTAAATAATTTATTGATAGGTGCAATGTTTACATTATTCTAAAATTGTTATATTGATTAGTATGGTTTGTCATGATATATGGGAATACTTTGTCTGTGTACCATATCATGTAGTATTGGTCTGGGATACTATTAAAATTTCTGTGTATGATGCATAGGTTATGTATGATAAGTACTCTGGAAGGAGCCGTCGCTTTGCATTTGTAACAATGAAAACTGTTGAGGATGCAAATGCTGTAATCGAGAAACTTAACGGCACTGTAAGTTCCATTGCAGAATTTACAGGATCCCATTGAAAGATTGCTAATGTTTATTCAGCAGTTTGGATTTCTTAAAGGACTCTTGAACTTTATGTTTTTGGTGACAGGAAATTGGAGGGCGTGAGATTAAAGTAAACATAACTGAAAAACCTTTATCAACAGTAGAAACGTCTTTACTTCAGGCTGAGGAATCCGAATTTGTTGATAGTCCCCACAAGGTATATGTGGGAAATCTGGCCAAGACAGTAACAACTGATACCCTTAAAACATTTTTTTCTGAGAAGGGAAAAGTTCTTAGTGCCAAGGTTTCGCGGGTCCCTGGGACATCAAAATCCAGTGGGTATGGTTTTGTTACTTTTTCATCAGAAGAGGATGTAGAAGCTGCTATCTCATCTTTCAACAATTCTGTAAGTTATTTATTGCTCTTGTTTATTTCAAGCTGAGACATCCAAATATACAAATATGTCAGAAGAAAGAATAAGTTGAGCATAGGGCCCCTTGTGCCCATTTTGGGACCCACCACTGATGTGTAGTTAAAGAATCTGGCAGCTACTAGTTACTACAGACTCTGTTAATTGTTAGTTTTGGTGAATGATTGGAATAAAAAGGGGAGAAATAGTAAGGTTTGAACAGATTGAGTGTATTCAGAAAGTTATGATTGGGAATGGGGTTTTGAAGGGAAAGCAAAAGGAAGGTAAATTTTAAATTTTTAGTAAATATGCTCTAATTTGATAAGATTTTATATTACAGAAATAAAATGATAGATTGTTATAAGATTAATGTCCTAATCTTTTATTTTTATTAAAAATAATTTTCTTAATTTGAAAATGAAAATTGTCTTCCATTTCTTTTTCCTCTAAAATTCCATTCCCAACCATACCCTTAGGGGAGGGAGAGCTGGGACTCTTGAAATTCCTGGGAAGAGACCTATTATATTCTTCGGGTTCATCTACTTCATACTTGAGTTCCTGTGAACTTTGATTGAATAAAGAATCTAGTTCAGTAAAACTTCCATTCTTTTTCCAATTTTGTTCTATCTTTTGTATAATCTGAACTAGTTCTTACTATCCTTTTCCTAATCTTGCTTATAGATAATAATGGTGCAGGTCTTATATACTTTCTAGGGTAGTTTACGGTCACCAATTTGTTACAGATACTTCAATGTCACATAGTGCATCTAAATTTAATATTTTTTTCATTACATATTTAATGATTGTTTAATGGGATTGAGTTATGTAGACTGAAAATAATGGTAACTTTTTGACGGGTAATTAGTTTACTTTTAAATACTATGCTGACAGTGATTTGTACTTTATTTGATGACCTATTGAGTACAGTTGTTAGAAGGGCAAAAAATTCGTGTGAACAAGGCATAGAGAATTAGCAATGTTGCAGAGCATGTTTTTGACCATGTGTCTTCTAGCAGGAACAAAGCGTACTTTGTGTGAAGCTGAAACTACTAACAAATTCCCTTGTTCTTGTATAGCATAAACCAAATCATTTTCAATTGATAAAGTTCTACAAAGATGCGTGAGTAAGATAGTGGTTAATGCTTTTGTTGCAGACATAGCTTTAGTTCAAGATATTGAGACCTCACTATTTCTTCCTGATTATGTTGCTCCTTTTTTATCTCCTTCAATGTTGTACGTCTTGTTGATGTATGGATGTATTCAGTTCCATTTTTTGTCCGAATTTGAATTGAGATGCAGAGAAATGTTAGCAATACATTTTGATAAACACACTCTTTAATATAATTTTTGTGATTGATATATAATTCTTTTTAACATTTATCTCGCAGATTGATCCATTTTAAATATTACTTTGATTTTTTAAACTATTAAGAAACTACAATAAGTATGTTATTAACATTCCTTTTGCCATAAATACACATGCAAATCAACGGGTTGTTATGAAATAATTTCTCTTTGATATTTACAAAGGAAATATGAAAACATCATAAAGAGATTAAATTGACCTTTTCTTCTTTTTTGGAAAATTTTAAAAACCTTTTAATCAAGGACAAAAAGAGAATTCTCTTTTTAAAATAGTATTTTGTTAAAAGTTTTCAGAAGGGCCTTCTAAAAATTTAAGTTTTAAGAAGATTTTAGAAACACATTTTACAAAAGGTAGTATCTCAAGATAAATTCTCCCAAATTTTGATTAAGATACAAGGATAAGAAAGAAAGATATGTAAGATTTATCATAATTCATTCTATAAATATGCTAGTTTACTTTAAGTCTTTGTCACCTATAAATGGTATTTTACAACAAAGTGAACACTTACGTGGACAAGTTTTTTCAAAATCATGTGAGCTTCTTCAGGCTTTAATTTTTAAATATTTGAAGAAATAAAATTTAACAATGTCTTAAATGTTTTAAAAGACAATCTCTATGATAGCTAATCATTTTGCATCTATGAAGAAGAATTAGCTTAATCTCTAATGCCAAATACTGTAAATACTAAAGAAAAAATTTTTGCTGAGCTTCAATTACCTTGTACCTTAATTGTTCATTCATTTAAAATTAACTTTCTTTTATTCATTATATATTCTTAGATGTGGGCAATGTTTCTGCAAAATTTCAACACGTTTTGGTTCTGAATGCATTGGTCCTGATGTGTACCTGTGATAATTTTAGAGAACGAGTGAAGTTGCACCGGAAGTCTACTAAAATCTCAAATTTAAGATAGTAGTTTCTTTGACCATACATCATTCTTATTTTTATTCCTTTTTGACATATATTATCTATTATTGTTATATTTCTTTGTTTGAAGTTTATTTTTGCATAAATTACAATCATTAATCACAAAGTATGTTTTTATAATTTGACATGTTATTATGCTTCTTACTATTTCTAATATAGAATTCAAGATTTGTTCCTTTTTTTTTATCTATCAAATTATATAAATAGTAACTTTTTTATTATTTTAGAATTTTAGTTATCTTTCTTTGAATTTAGATTTGACTTAAAGGGTGTTATACTTTGAAAAAGTAAATTATTTTTTAATTCAATTTTAGATCTTCTGTTTTCTGGCTGCTCATTAAATGTTTAATTAGTAATTTTACTAATTTGGCTATCTTTTGTTACTAGGTTGTTAACTATACCTTCTTTTTTAACATGCTTAAATGTATAAGAAAATGATGTTATCTCTAAAAAGAGATTTATTTGTTGGGAGATTTGAAGGACCATTAGATCCTAATGAAGTAATGTTGTATATGTTATGTAATAATTCTAAATGTTCAAGTTTTATTTATAAGCAATAATGATTGCTTTTCCAATTTGAATAAGATCATTTTATTATACTAGCGAGTAAGGGTGTTAAAATGGGTTAACCTATGACCTGACCCCTTAAAAACGGGTTAGTCTAAGCTCATTCTATTTAAAAAATGGATCAGCTTTTCTAAATCGGTTTGTTTAAGAGTGGGCTGATAGGTTAATGGGCCAACCCACCAAAAAAAAAAAAAAGAAGTTAATAGACCATTGAATTAATGAGTTAGCCAACAAAAAATTAACTAAAAAAATAAAAAATTATAATAAATAATAAAAAATATTTTAAAAAATATTTTTATTTTAAAAAAAATAAATTTAGACCCGATGGCTAGCCTTGTCCAACTCATCATTAGCCCGTATTTTAGAGGACTAAAACGGAGCAGGCTAGGCGAGCTAGTAGATCTACATCACTCAGTCTAGCCATCAAGTCAAGCTCATTTTGCCATCCTACTGACGAGACTATTAACATATTTTACTTTAATTTTGAGAATAAAATTATTTTATGTCTTAAAAAATTATTTTCAAATACTCATAAGTAGTTTATAAAAATTATTAATGATTTTTATATTTTTTATCTTAATAAATTGTATTGTTAAATTATATTTTTAAAGTACATTATTATTTTTAAAAAACATGAAAACTATTTTAATTAACTGTATATTCAAATGCATTCAGAAGACGTAAAGTTTTGGTAAGAAAAAATAAAGATATTTTGATTTAAAACATTTTACTCATTGATATTTACACATTAGTTGAAGGATAATCTAATTATTTTACAATCAATAAACTCTTGTATCACACATGTCATCACATTAGTATTGACATAAATAGATATTTCATTAAATTTATTTTGCAACAACTCTTATTATATTATTTTAAAAAATATATAATTTAGAATATTTTATAATTTTAATATATATATTTTTACCTTACAGAAAAAAAAACAAGTACTATATTAGTTTTTCATTTTGAAAAAACTATATTAGTTTACACGTAAAGAATAATAATTACACATTTTTAACAAATTTATAAATGTATTTTTAATTAATATATTGAATTTCATTAAATAATATGAAATTTATTTTATTTAATAAATTTTACTTATAACTTTAAGATTTATAATAAAATTATAATTAACAACAAAAATAAGAGAGATAATAAAGAAGAAGTTTATTAAATATTTAGTTGAAAATGATGCAGATATCATAATAAGAGATAAGGACCTACCATTTGTCTTTGAAACTCTAATTTTTCTAAAATTACTAACCTTCCTTCTCTTGTTTTATAATTATTATTTATAAGCTATTGGGATTAATTGAGTTTTGAATAACCTTTCACTAAAGGCCTATACCTAAACAACACTAATGTTTGGCTATAACAGAGGGTGGTGTGATGAGCAATTAGATCTCACTCTCTCAAAGCTAGCCCAACGGTACCTAGGATACGTTTTGGCGTGGTGCTCCTGTCCATATCCACAAGGACTTTGACAAGGATTTTGTCGTTGCTCTCTGAATTGCACTTGTCTAGAATCGTTGATGACAGAGGTGTGGCTTCATGCAGTGGTACGGGTTGTAGTACCCATTGAGGTGTATTTGAAGTTTGATCTCTACGAAAAGGGTGCAAAAGTGAAACATGAAATACATCGTGTATGCGCGAATATGGTGGTAATTTGAGGCCATATGCTCCTGATCCAATCTTCTCTATGATATGATAAGGACCATGAAACTTTCCCCCAAACTTAGGATGCTCTTTGTGGCCATTTGAAGTTTGTTTGTGATGCTGAGTTTTTAACCACACAAACTCTATAATTTCAAAATTGATATCTTTTCTAAATTTGTCTGCTTGATTTCTCATCCTGCCTGTTGCAACTTGTAGATTATTTCAGAGATTAAGACGCATAATTTCTCGAATAGCTAGTTCTTCATCTACGACTTGTATGGCGCTCAGTCCTAAATAGTATCTCGACCACAGTGCTGGTGGTCTTCCATAAATGATTTGATATGGTGTCATCTTTGCTGATGAATGAAAGGATGTGTTGTAACAGTATTCTGCCCAAGGAAGAAATCGATACCACGAGTTGGGTTGGTCAAGTACAATAGCACAAAGGTACTGCTCGAGGCATCTGTTCAGAACTTCTGGTTGTCCGTCTGTTTGAGGATGGTAGGAGGTTAAGAACTTCAGCTTTGTGCCCACAAATGCATCCGATGACACCAAAAGTGATTGTCTCTGTCGGATACTATGGAATCTGAGAAGTTGTGCAACTTGTCAACGATATCGGTGAAAACGTTAGCCACTATAACTACTATAGATCCTGGTTGTAAGGCTCCAAAATGTGTCATCATGGAAAAATAGTCAACTACAACTAGTATTGTTGTGTGCCTTGAGGCTTTGGTAGGGATGTTAAAAAGTCTATAGATATGTCTTCCCAAATATTATGTGGACAAGGTAACAGTTGCAGTAAGCCACCCTTTTTCTCTATCAAAATTTTTATTTGTTGACAAGTTTGGCATTACAAAACAAAGTCTTTCACATTCGTGCGCATGGATGCCCATTCAAAATTTTCTCGTAGCCTAGTGTAAGTTCTCTGAAGCCTTGCAGCCCGTCTACTGAAGTGTTGTGACATTATTTGATAAGTATTTTCTAGGTGTTGTTGTCATTGGGAACCATAACTCTGTTCTGATATAGGACTACACGATTATGTAATGTTAAATTTGTGTTTTGCTAGTTCTGAAGCTAGCTGATTAGGCCTTGAAGTGAGTCATCCTTTGCGGTAGCCTTGCATAACATAGGAAGAATTGAGCAGCTAACTGTGTAAAAAGTGTTGAATTCTGTGGCTGTCATAGGTAAGCGAGAAAGAGCATCTACAACTGTTTTCTATTTACCTGGTTTCCATACAATACAGTAGTCAAAGCCCAATAACTTACATAGGTAATGATGTTGTTCAGGGGTTTGAATCACCTAGTTCATAAGGTCTTTGATGATATGTTCTGATTTTGAATCAATGCCCAAAGAGGTAATGTTGCCATTTGGATACCACCTGCGTAATTGCATACAACTCTCACATAAATGGAGGTTCTTGCCATTATAGGGTTTAATTGTTTGCCAAAGAATGCTATTGGGTGACTTTCCTATGAAAGTATTGCACCAATGGCATTTTTTGAAGCATGTATCTTGATAACAAAGTCCTGGTTGAAATTGAATAGTTCGAGCACAGGCACTTTCGTCATACACTCCTTCAGCTTTTCAAATGCTGCTTGTGCTTAGTCGTATCACACAAAGGCATTTGCTCGTAATAGTGTTGTCAAAGGGATAGCAACTTGAGCGTAATGTTGAATGAATGTCTGGTAATATCCCCTCAATCCTAAAAAGCCATGCAATTCAATAACTGACTTTGGAGTAGGCTATTGCAACATTGTTGATATTTTAGATGGATCTACCTAAACTCCTTTTTCTGAGATGACGTGCTTGAGATACTCCATATGAGTTGTGCGAATAAATAGTTCTTCTGTC